TGACCTCTCCTCCTTGCTGTCCAGCCATTCTAAATGTGAGCTCTTATCTCGTTTGAACAGATCGCCACCGTCGCCGTCATCATATCCGCCCTGCTGTTGTTCCATTAGAGGCCCTACAGGTACCAATTCCAGGTCCCTCCTTCCCGTTTTCATAATAAAACACCTTTGGATCGAAAATGTATGCCCAAAATCACTTCATGGTTACTAAGTCAAGACCTGCAAGTCCAACCCACCCACACCACTACCTGTGCAGAAGGATAATGAGTGAAGATCTGCCCCAGCCAAGTCGTCGACCGCTATGATACCTGAACTGAAAGACAAATGCTCTGAGGTTGAAAGGCAACCCAGATAAGCTGATTCCTACTTGTATTTTTATTGTCTCGATTCGTCCACTGCAACTACTAAGAATGAAAAAGGTTATGAAGTTTACTTCCTTGCCTTCTTAGATGAAGGTGGTTGGCCAACACACTAATACACTATCCAGTTAGCTCCTCAAAATTTTTCATTTGTTTTTTAAAATGAACCATCTAGTTGAACTCCATGGAAATGAGATCAATAGCTTTATTCTCAAAAGTTGGTAGGCTCCCAAGGGAGGATTCAATAGTCTTGTCATGAAACCAGTTTCCCTTATTGTAGAAATACCCAGTTTTGTTTGAGAGTCACTAGAATGTATGTCTTTTATCTGGTTATGCATAGGCATTATGTATTTTTTAATGTTTTTAGATTGATAAAAGATAGATTTATTGAACAAAAAAGAGGTCGAAATATCTTTTGCATGTTTCTAATCTCTACTATTTTGGCAGGCACATGCATGATATAGATGGAGATTGCAAGGCGATGAATGGTCGAGGGGACTAAAATTTGCTGCAATGGAGTGGTGGGAGAAGTCATGCGATAAAACATTATGAATGAACGAATTGTGAAATTGATAAACTATGGCCTCACTGAACTTTTTCTTTTGAATGCTACTTAGTCATTGTTTATTTCTTTACTGACGTATGTCCTTTGAATATTTCTTGTTTGTTAGATTTGTTATTCAGTCTTAGATGTTCTACTGTGTACAATTAGGAACCTTATAAATTGATGGTCCAAATTAAAAATTTTGTGATTGTTCATCAATTTTTGGATTTGCTCGCACAGCTTGTATCAAACAGTTCTTAATTAGTTCTTTTTTTAATTGATCAAGTTACATTTTTTACGGTGGTAATGATTTGTTTTATTTGAATGATTGTCACGTTTGAAGTGGATGAAATAGATGATGCAAAATAGGTGAATATCAATGCTATGACTAATTAATATAATAAGCTATAATATTTTTTATGCTATTTTACATTTATTGAAAATATTTTTTTTTCAAATCTTAATAGGAACAGTTGTTTTCCATTGTTAATACAGTTTAGCAACAGTTGGAATTTAATAACACGAATATTTTATTTTTTATGAAACAAAAATTTAAACCTTATAGCAACAGTTGCTTTCCGTTGGTAATACATTTTAGTAACGGTTGACGTGGATTTTTATTTTGCTGATGTGGATTTTAAATTTTTTTATAAAAATACTCTAATAGAAACGGGTGCAAACTATTGCAACGGTTGTTGATCGTTGCTATAAGCTAATTGCAACAGCTTTACTAGCAACGGACCATTTGCAACGGTTTTAACCATTACTAATGTATTAGAAACGGTTGAAACCGTTACAAGTAAGCTTATTTAAAACAGTTCTAACCGTTGCTAATAAAGACTTTTGTAGTAGTGAGTAGTCCCTTAAGTCTTTCATATTTTGAAATTAGTTTGTCAAAGCATTGAAATAATTTTCACGTAACTCAATTATTAAGTTTTTTGAAATTACTCATTCACATTAATGGTATAATTAGAAAATCAAGGGACTAATTTCCCTCTTTTTTTTTTTTGCTCTTGATTGGAGGAGTTGTTATTAAAATATCTTGAACTGCGGATGTAATAGCTATTTCCATGATTTGATGACTTAAGTTTGAAATAATAAGAACTGAGCAACTTAATAATTGAATGTGGTTTTCTTTATAAACTTATGAAGAGGTTTTTCTTTAAATGTTGATAGGGTTTTTTTAGTCTATAGTCATTAGGGATTAACATAGAAGATTTTTTTCGCTTTTCTTTTTTACTCAATGAGAATTTTGTATCATTTGTTATTATTTGGTTTGAGGCACTGAAGAAATTGGTTGCTATATGAGAGGATAATCTTTTCGAATAATTTGTTGGTTACACTGCTTATGGTCACAACGACACAAAATGAAAGTTGAAGTTGCATCAATATAAGTATTAAGAAAATTCACTGATAATATTACATCATCAAGTAGAGATTTAAAAAAAAACATTTTCACGACCAAGTTACACTAAAAAAAAATAAATCAAACAATCATGATATATAACATCGTGCAATGCACATGTATCTCACCTAGTATATTTAAAGTGACAAGCAATCCAATTAGTATTTAATTACACAAACCCAATCATTTAAGCAATTAATATATATGAAGGTTTAATTAGAAATATAAATGTAGTACCGATAATCCAATTAACCCTTCTTTATTAGTCCAAATCAGAGTTGCCTTTAGATGCTTCTCGCAATTAAAGGGCTGTTTGGATATTTTTTTTTTTTTGGTGGTAAAAGAGGAGAAAGCTGCCAAAAATGTCAGCTTTTTGGCAGCTTTCCCCTAAAATCACCTTTTTAAGGGGTGATTTTGAGGGAAAGCTGCCAAAAAGCTGCCATTTTTGACAGCTTTCCCCACTTTTACCCCCCAAAAAAAGGAACCAAACAGCCCCTAAGGGGTTTGTTGTGACATGAAATGAACAGGTTGTCGGGAATTCAATGCTACCTGGAATGGGTATGGTACCATAAAATCCTGTCAGCCCAATAAATTCCTGTAGATTAGACAATTATCAAGTTGGTTCATTGTATACGAACCCTCTACTATTACACAATTGCATTTTGACCCCTTGAGGATCTAATGATGCATATCGATCACACAGCCAAACTTTTCCAACTCTTTTATTCTCAGTAGGTATTTGGTAAAATAACAATTTTCTCTTTCTATAAGGGCATGTTTAGAGAATGGAAAGTGAAAAAAAGAGACAATATTTTCTCTGAAAATACTTTCTTATGACTTTCTATTTTGCAAAATCTTATTTGGATGATAGAAATAAAAAGAAAAGAGAAAGTTGAGGTGAACAATAGTGTGACACTAACTTTCTTCTTATTTTGTTTGGTTATCAGTCGAAAGTGGATAAAAAATAAAATAATATATGAAAAAATCTAAAAATATATTTTCTTCTCTCCTCTCTCTTAACTTTCTATCAACTTTCTCTAGTTTTTTTTGGTGAAAGTGGCTAAAATGCGGAAATGACACCCTTCACTTTCTAATAACTTTCTGTTCACTTTTTAATTTTGGGTCCACTTTCCGGTAACGAAACAAACTGTAAAGGTGAGAGAGTTAAAAATAATACTAACAACAAAACTTTAGGGGGTCACACATTGAAACTTTTCCGACCCTTTATCCTTATGAGGTATATTAATCAGAAAAACAATATTCACTATCTCCGAGAATAGAGCTAAAAATACAACAACAAAGCTAAAGGCGTCTACCCGCAATTAGATGATGGTATAGAGAGTCTTTATCACTAATCAACCCTAACCTAGCTAATTTCTTACTCAGTAGTGTATCTTACATGATAATCAAAATTAAAAACACAATTCTCATTTTAGTCACATAAGGAAAAACAAATATATACAACCCATAATCTTATGCATAAAAGAAAAAGAAAAAAGAACTAACCAAAAAATCAAAAGAGACATCAACCGTGTGCTAATACAAAGTGAACTTGTTTATTTCGCAGTAAATACAGTCACATTTATAGTTGTAACCACAGTTGCAGTTTAAGTAGTAGTTGTCTTGGGCAATCTCGTAATATGATCGACAAACGACTCAAACTCCGAACCTTTGACGACCCACCACCCATCACCGCAGCCCCTCACCGCCTCCCCACACCAAAAGCCGCCCTCTCCCTCGGTACCCTTACCTTCCTCCTTCACCATCACGGTCTCACAATCGCCGCCTCAATCTCCTCCCGCCCGCCACCACCTCCAAACCTCCGTCGCATCCCACTCCCTCAACCTCCACCCCGAACCCTCAAAACTTCGCTCACCATCATGCGTCTCCCTCGGCCTGATTCGAGCTGCATCGGCCCACCGCGCACCCACCGGCACGCCGCCAGCTTCATCGCCCTCAATGCACGAGGGAAAAATTCCACCCGCAGTTGGCTCACGAACGCCCCCGTCGACACACAGCTGCGCCAGTATGTCGAGCTGGCGGGGCACCCACCCTCGGAGAACGACCCCGACGTCCCTCGTTCTCCGCCTCCCGAAGCCCGTCCGGCAGCTCGCCTCCCCGCCCGCGCCCCTCCCTTGCGAAAATGTTCGGCCGCGCTCCGCGATCCTCAACACCCAAATAAAACCCGCTGCCCCGCCTCGCGCCGCCAGCCGGCACGCCCAGCCCTGCTCCCCCCCTCTTTTCATAACAATCTGCTCGTCGGACGTTCGTCGACGTGGTGCCGAACCGAATATTACACGACACGACGCCAGCCGGGCACTTTGAACCGTCCGCCAGGCCAATCGGAGCGCACGCGTGCTGGGCACTGCTGATTCCCTGCCCCGGCTCGGGTATCGGGCTTATTGGGCCGACGGCGCACCAAAGACTGCCTTTTGGGCTGCAACTCGGAGAAGAGATCGATGAACTCGCGGCCCTCGATGGATCGAGAGCGTGTTGATGATTAGGGTGCCGGATTCACGCGGTTTTGGACTCCAACGACGGGCGGACGAAGTCGACGCGAACTCTTCAGTTAATTAGCTTTTCCAAAAAGGTTTGAGGATTTAGTTTGCACCCGTATGTTCTTGTGAGAGTTTTTACTTTGGGGAGCTTTGTTAGACGCTCTTCAACGTGAAAAGCAAGCTAAGTAAGAAGAATGCCGAGACGCATTAGCCGTATCTGTAGACTTCAACGTTGGGCGACGGTCACGGCATCAATCCCTGCAATATAAAGATTTTTAGAGGGACCCAAAATATAGGACCAATAAAGGGGACAAGTGAGGTGTCCCCCTCCTATTGAATAATGAGTTGGTCATCATTAATGATGACCAACTCATATCCAATAGGAGGTGGACACCTCACTTGTCCCTCCTATTGGTCCCATATTTTGGGTCCTTAAAGAATTTTTCTATAAAGATTGATATGAGCATTAATTTATATATTTGATTCGTGATTATTAAATGTATGGGTAAAGTTCTTTAAAATTTATGCTACTACAAGTATATGGTTTGATGTCTTGTTTTTTCGGATGGGGATCCGCTACATCATTGGTTGGTCGAGAATCTTTACAACTTATATATCAATCAGATCTCCTCACTCTGTGAACCCCATGAATGAAAATTCTTTTAATTATGTGATTCACTGAATGAGTCAATGCTATTCACCCATATAGCTATATTTGTAGTGACTCTATACAATCAGGGATGTTAGAGAGATTTTTGGAAAGTAGTCACCAAATCTTTCATATTTTGAAATTGGTCCCCTAAATCTTTTATATTTTGAACTTAGCCCGTAAAATCTTTCATATTTTGAAACTAGTTTTTGGAACTATTTCACAAGTGTTGCATCTGAAAATACTAAAGATGGTAGAATATTTTCTTTAATTTCAACTAGTCCCTAATAGATGGAGTAACTTCAAATCAGTTAAAAGAGATCAGAATGATCCGCTACAAAATACCTAATATTTCCTCTTACAAGTATATATATTTTATTATTCAATGAATATTTAAAGAATATTGGAGTGATTTGATTTTTCCCTCCTCCGAACCTTACCTGCAAATGACATGAGAGGGTCATGAACAACAACCAGCCTCTCATAAGTCCCCGAAAGCAATCGGAAAAGATCGAGCAACGGCGACCGAAGGTGATCAGAAGCCTCGAACATGGGCTGAAGGTGAGCTGGAAACTTAATCACAGCGTCAGGGTCGGGAGGGGGAGTGGAAAAGGGTGGGATTTGCAAGTCATGGAAGTGGACCTTGTCGACGGAAGTGGAGTTCCATCCCTGGATCCGGTCGCGGGCCTGGCGGTTGTGGGTGGCGGAGGCGGCGAAGTGGACGGGGAGGTTGTGGGAGGAGAGGTGGAGGGAGAAGTGGAGGAGTTGGTTGAGGTGGCCGTGGGCCGGGAATGGGACCACTAGTATCCCTACTGGATGTGCCATTTTTGGGGTGTTTTTGTGGAGTTTGTGGTGAGGTTTTGAAGGGGTTTTGGGGAAGTTTATATCCAGCTGAGGAGGGAGTTGTTGGTTGTTATTTGGATATTTATGTTTGTCTAGACAACAACCCCCTCATCCGAAAAAAAAAGCCAGCTGTAGACTTCAACGTTGGGGAGAGTCACAGCATCAATTCCTGCGATATAAAGATTGATATGAGCATTTATATATTTGATTCGCAATTATTAAATATATGGGCAAAGTTTAACTCTTTATAGGTGAAAACTCCTATCAACTTAAGTGGATAGCAAATAGAGTGTCCACCAAAGTTTTAACCACTCATATTGCGTAAGTATCCATATGTATTATATAAAAAAGTGTTTTATATTAATATATGTGTGGCTAGAAACTTTGGTGGACATCAACTTAAGTTGATAGGAGTCTTGCTCTTTATTCTACTACTAATATAGTTTAATGTTCTGTTTTTTTGGATGGGGATCCTCTGCATCATTGGTTTGTAGAGAATCTCTATAGCTTATATATCGATCACATCTCCTCACTCTCCGTGAATCCCATGAGTGATTTTCATTATTTAATTTATATAGAAAATTCTTCTAATTATGTGGTTCACTTGAATGAGTCAATGCTATTCACCCATGTTGTTAATTGTGGAGGCTCTATACAATCAATGATGTTAGTGTTGCGCGCAGCGGAAATTTCGACAGCACTTCGGCAGCACAACAAGAGTTAGGTCGCAATAAGAATTCTTGTTTCTCAAAGGGAACAAGAATCTGAAGCCTAATATCCCATCAAAGTGGCATATTTGCTCTTCCTCTCGTCAGCTCTAGGACTGCGCGTCGAGGGAACCTAAAAAGCTATTACAAATCACACAAAAGCGATACAACCAATTTTTACGTGGTTCGGCAAATTGCCTACGTCCACGGGGCAAGGAGGGGGGAGATCTACTAATAGAGGGAGAGATTACAACTAGGGTTTACAATCACTCAATCTAAACCCTCAAACAAACTCTCAAATCCCTCACACAAATACTCTCTAAAAGAGATGCACAAAACCCTAGATAAAGGGACTACACAAAATCTCTTCAACTGCAGCCGCAAAAATAAAACAAGAACTCCTTCGCACCTGCTCCAAGCCGAGAAAAAGCCACAGCCAAAAAAAATCAAAGTTCCCTGCACTCCTGCACTTTGCTCTGTAGCCGCACAAGTGCACAGCCGCAACCCCCTCTAAAACCCTTGCTCCGCCAATCAAAAATCTGAGTTGATGATATATTTATATATGAGCTGATTCGGGTGGGCCTTGGGTTGCCTTGGGTTTCCGCGTCAACTTCACGCGGCTTCGTTCACGTGAAATAATTCACGTATGTGGTGGCCGGGCCCCACACTCACAATTCTCCACCTCGGTGAAGTTTTCCCAAAACTGAGCCGACACCAAAGCATCCAAATGTCCCACTTGTTGTGTCCAGTATGAACTCAATCCACAACAAGTCGAGAACCCGAACGAGAGTCCAAACAATCTCACCCCCATTAACTAATCTAAACCGGTTGCATCTGAAAGACTGCATACGTATCCTCTTGCCCAAGGAATCAAGCCGAACGTAGTTCACTTAAATGGCCGCCAACGGCCTCAACAATCACGAATATGCAACAAGTTTCGACAATGATCAAACTTATTGCTCGGAACCACCTTAGTGAGCATATCTGGCGGATTATCCTTCGTGTGGACTTTCACAATCTCCATATCGCCATCTTCAAGAACATCCCGAACGAAGTGATAACGAACGTCAATGTGCTTCGTACGCGCATGAAAAACCTGATTCTTCGCCAAATAGATAGCACTCATGCTATCACGATGAATAGTGACGGACCTCTGTGATATACCAAGTTCCTCCAAAAGTCCTCGAAGCCAAATAGCCTCCTTCACAGCCTCCGTAACTGCCATATACTCTGCCTCCGTCGTAGACAAAGCCACCGTAGACTGTAAGGTGCATCTCCAACACACCGGTGCACGGGTCAAAGTAAACGCATACCCCGTAGTAGACCGGCGCTTATCCAAATCCCCGGCATAATCCGAATCAACATAACCAATGCATAGCTGCCCACCTGTAGTGTCCCGCTCATAAACTAAACCAACATTGAGCGTACCTCGAATGTACCTCAAAATCCATTTCACAGCATCCCAATGACCCACTCCTGGATCGTGCATGTATCTCGATACCATGCTTACTGCCTGTGATAAATCTGGTCTCGTACATACCATCGCGTACATCAAGCTCCCAACCGCACTCGCATATGGAGTCTTCGACATCAACTCACGATCTTCAACTGACTTTGGTGAAAGACCAGCTGAAAGCTTCAAATGGGCTCCCAAAGGTACACCAACTGGCTTCGTATCCAAGCTAACATGAAATCGTTGTAGAACCTTTTTCAAATAAGCCATCTGTGTCAAACAAATTCTGCCCTTCTTCTTGTCTCTGCCGATCTCCATCCCTAGAATGCGCTTCGCCTCACCCAAGTCCTTCATCTCAAACTCATTTGAAAGCTGAACTTTCAACTCATCTATAGCCGACCTGGAAATAGAGGCAACCAACATGTCATCGACATAGAGCAACAAATAAATGTACGCACCTCCTTTCAACTTGCGAAAATATACGCAAGGATCAAACTGGCTCCGAGTGTACGAATGACCAATCATAAAACCATCGAATTGCCTATACCACTGTCGAGGAGACTGCTTCAAACCGTATAGCGATTTCTTCAGTTTGCAAACTAATTTTTCCTTCCCTGCAGCTCGGAATCCCAATGGCTGAGTCATATATATTTCTTCATCAAGATCACCATGAAAGAATATCGTTTTCACATCCAACTGATCTAATTCCAAACCATACTGTGCCACCAAAGCTAGCAGAATCTGAATCGAAGAGTGCTTCACCACCGGAGAGAAAACCTCATTATAGTCAATACCTTCCTCCTGTGCATAGCCCTTCGCAACCACCTAGCTTTGAATCTCAATGGAGTGCCCTCAATGCCCTCCTTCTTCGTGTATACCCACTTGCAACCAATTGCTTTCCGCCCTTTTGGAAGCTCAACAAGCTCCCATGTATCGTTCTTATGAAGAGATTCCATCTCCTCCTGCATAGCCACCTACCACGAATCAGCCTCCGAACTCTGCTCGGCCTCTCTGAATGTAGTAGGTATCATCTCATTGATACTCTCCACCGGAAGTGCATACGCAACTGTGTCGGCATACCGTGCTGGCATCTGTATGTTTCTCCTCTGTCTCCAAGCCGCAATTGAATCCTGAACCTGAGCCGTCGGTTCCTGATTCTGCACATTTGTACTCGTATCCTCCGTGTCACTGTCGTGCTCGCCTGGCGTCACCTCAGTCGGCACCTGTATGGATACTGTACCATCTGGACAATATGGAGCTGCATTGATCTCCACCACCTGCGATATCTCCTCCGTCGGGTCGCTCTCCACCTTATGAGAGCTGGGAAGCTTCAAGATAGAAGCCTCATTGAATGTGACATCCCTACTCAGCACAATCTTCTTATCCACTGGATCCCAAAGCTTGTATCCCTTAACACTACGCTTGAATCCTACAAATATGGCCTTATTAGCTCGAGGTTCCAACTTATCAGTTCTCACATGATAATATGCAAGGCACCCAAATACCTTGAGCTGGTCATAGTCATGTGCTGGCTTTCCCGACCACATCTCCATAGGGGTCTTCCCCTCAAATCGCAGATGAAGGCAGCCTATTAATGAGGTGGCTCGCATATGTAAGTGCCTCAGCCCAAAAGATCTTCTCCAAACCACTCTGCGATAATAAGCATCGGATCTTCTCCAGTAAAGACCGATTCAATCTCTCTGCCACCCTATTTTGCTGCGGTGTATGACTAACTGTGAAGTATCTCTCTATGCCCTCATCTCGACATAGCTGCTGAAAGGAGTCAGAAGTATACTCACCACCGTTATCGGATCGCAACGTCTTGATCTTTCTCCCAGTCTGCAGTTCCAATCTCTTTTTCCACTCCACAAATAAATCTAGGACTTCACTCTTCTTCGTCATGGTGTACACCTAACAACGCCTAGAATAGTCATCTATAAAAGTGACGAACCAATGTCTACCACCAAGTGATGCAGTCTTGGTGGGACCCCAAACGTCTATGTGCACATAGTCCAGGATGCCCCTCGTCTGATGAATGGCAGTCCCGAACTTCACCTTTGTCTTCTTGCCAAGAACACAGTGCTCACAGAACTCAATCTTCCCACTCTTGGCTCCCTTCAATAGCCCCTGCTTGCACAATGCCTGCAGTGACTTTTCACCTGTGTGCCCCAACCTATTGTGCCAAAGTCTGCTCATGTCCGCTTCTGAAATAGCCGAAGCAACCTGGCCAATCTCGGTGCTTCCCTTCAGATAATACAAATTCCGATTGCGGACTCCCCTCATCACCACCAATGATCCCTTAGTAACCTTCGCTACAGCGTTTTCGAAAGTCACCTTGAATCCCTTCGCCTCCAAAGCTCCAACTGAGATAAGATTTTTCTTCAGTTGAGGAACAAATCTCACCTCCTTCAACTCACGGACTACTCCATCGTGCATCCTAATCCGTACGGTACCTATCCCACAAACGCTACAGGATTGATCATTTCCCATGACAACAACGCCCCCGTCGACTTTCTCAAAAGATGCAAACCAGTCTCGCCTAGGGGTCACATGAAAAGTAGCGCCGGAATCAAGCATCCAATCTGATGCATCCACATGGTTCACCTCTGGAGTAATCAATAGAGAAAAGCACGAATCATCGGAATCATCGCCTTTCGCAACGTTCACCTCATTGGCCTTCGGGCCTTTTTTCTTGCTATTCTCCTTCTCCTTGAGCTTCGGACAGTCTCTCTTCCAATGTCCTTGCTCCTTACAGAATACACATTGGTTCTTTGTTAATTGGTGGCGGCCTCTAGACTTTGACCTTCCTCTATTACCACCTTTCGGATATGGGCTTCTACCTCTCGTCGACAAGGCCTCTCCTGAAGTACTAGCGTGGGAAGTCTCCTTATCCTTCCTCCTCAAATCGTAATTGGTCAATGTGTTAGTCACTTCACTATAGCTGATAGAAGATCTCCCGTTCAACAAAGTGAGCAC